TCTAAATTCAGATGGGGTATGATCATGCTTTGGAGCTTGTGAACTTGTTTTCAATTTGTTGAACTTCAACGTGAACTTGCAAATGAGTCTGCTCGCTATTGAAGTGAGCTTCTCCACTGGTTCTTTTCACCGATGTAAAAGATTTGGGTTCATGTTGTCCAATTATCATCTATGTTGATTTTAAAAAAATTGCAGTTGATAGATCTTTGATCTTGTAAAATTATCTTAATCTCCAGTATTCTTTCTATCACCAAGGCCATATTTCCCAGCTACTAACCTTTGGGGACCTCTGATGGCTTGTTGTTGTTGTTAAGTGCCATTGAATCAAGTACGTTGAGCTGCCTTGAACTCAATTGCCCAGTGGTTAAAGTTCCAGCCGCCCCTCAGCATGTGCTTCCGTAAAGGTTTGCAGCCTGGGAAACAGTTGTAGATTCTTTGGTTTCATTCTTTCACTAAGGAAGCCCCCTGGGGGAGTGGCTGGCCAAGCCCACATCGATCATCACACCCCAGAGGTCAGTTCCCCTGGGGAGTTGAATTCTTGTCCTGAAAGGCTGGGTGGAGTTTTGTCTTCCTGGGCACCTCTGGTTGGGCTCATCCTTTCAGTTCGCAGCAGACACAAGCACCTGGGACAATTCATGGAACAGGAGCTGATCACCATCTAGCACAGTGGTTTGTGCATTGGGCCACATAGAGAGTACGGCCCCCTGACCTCCTGTGCTCCTGACCGGTTATGTGCAGGGAGGATGGGGTTAATGAGTCCCCTGGTGTCTCAGTGATGGGAGGAGACAGGAGGTCTTCCAGTGGCCTGCCTGAACTGTGACTTCTCTCAGCTCTCTGGGGGTTTGCTAAGATTGCAGGTCTGTGGTGGCCTCGGAATCTGTCAGGCCATCTCAGGAATCCACTGTGGCGACCACTTGTCCACAGACCCTGGATTGAGTAACAAGAAAACCCAGGTCGCGAGAGAAAGAAAACGGAGGGGAGGAGATTGGAACTCTGTTCTTGTTTCTGTTGTTAGTTGTGACTAAGGCAGTTCCTACTCCTCGTGGCCTTTGTACAGTAACGTGAGACACAACTCGGTCCGGCTCCATTCTCACAGTCATTGCTGCATTGGAGCCCCCTTTGCAGTTTCTCTGTATTGAGGGTCCTCCTCGTTGCCGACCTCTCTGCTTCACCAAGGCTGGTGCTCTTTCCAGGGACTGGCCGGCCCCTCCTCGTGACGGGGCCCAGGAACGTGAGATGATGAAGTCTTGCCATCCTCACCTCTGAGTAGCCTTCAAATGGTACTTCTTCCAAGATAGATGTGTTTGTCCTTCTAGAAGTCCATGGTCTATTAAGTATTCTTTGCTAACACCATAATCCAAAGATATGATTCTTCTGTGGTCTTATTATTCGTTGTTGAGCGTTTGCGTGCATATGAGGTGATTAAAAACACCATAGCCGTCAGCTGTGGGTCGGTTCAGAGTCGATGGTACTTAAAAACAGCAGTTTTAACTAATCTGTGTTCGAGAACAAGTTTCAGAGTCTCTTCTCCCATCATTTTGGCTTTTATTTCTTTTCTGCTTTTAAAAGAACTTACACAATTTTCATGTATCATTTGTTTACTTTTCAATTTGAATGAAGATTTATAAAACATGTAATTTTTTTATGTTCATTCCCCCACCCCACCCCCCCAAAAAAAGTGGTAACAAGGAGGGGAGGTGATAATAGCTCTATTAGTCATGCAAATAAATATTTTACAAAAATAACAACAAAAGGACCATGGCCTGGGCCAGGTGCACCTTAGTCATCCAAGTGACACCTTTGCTCTTCAACACGTGACAGAGGTCCTTTGCAGCAGATGTGTTGTTTGATTTCTTGACTGCTGTGGAGGTTGGCTGTGGGTCCGAGGAGAATGAAAACCTATAGTTGGGCTTTATATATGTTGCTAGAAAACCCTGGATGACACCTGAGTGCGTGTTGTATCCAGCCTCATCACATCGAGAAGATGAATGTGTAGGGCACAGGGTGGCCATGACGGCACACGTAACCCTCGAGGAGCCCAGCTGACCAGGGTTCCTTCCCCCCCCAGGTGGTGGTGTACTGTGAACATCATTTGTCGGGGTGGTGCAGGATGAAAGCAGAAAATGCTCCGGTGACTAAGGTGTGGTCCTCCTGGCATCTCCCCCTCCAGATCCCACACTGAAGGTTCTAATCTGAGGACCACACCATGGGTCCAGGATTGCAGCCTGGAACCAGCAACTTTCATGGCCACAAGACCTTTCTGAGGCCAGTGGCACAGACCACACTTTGGAAAACAGATCTAGACATCATGCAGCAAAGCTGAACAGAACTTAGGCTCTGGGGCCCAGCAAGTCCCAAAAGGAGGTGTTGTGTGGTTAAGTGAGGGTGTAAGATACAAGCATAGATGTCCAGGCTTATCACAGCTTACCCAGTCAACTCATGCAAATTAATTCACTTCTCCAAACTTCATTGGGAATAAATGATGTCAGGGACCTCTCTAGAGCACTGAGAAACAACAGTATCGATCTAGAGACTAAGGTGTGCCTGATCCAGTCTATGGTCTTCTCAGTTACTTTCTATGCATCAGAGAGCTGGACAGTGACTAAGAAGGACAGAATAATTGATGCCTTTGAATTGTAGTGCTGGAGAAGAGCAGTGAACATACCGTGGACCTACAAGAAAACAACTCTGTCTTGGAGGAGGTAAAAGCAAGTCTCCTTGGAGTCTAGGATTTTGAAGCTCTGTCTCACTTACTTTGGGCACGTGGCCGGGAGAGACCGGTCCTTGGAGAAGGACATCATGCTCAGAAGGATGGAGGACAGCACAGGAGAGAAAGACCCCAGAGGAGATGGATTGATACAGAAAAGGGGCAGTGGGGTGTTGGTGTGTTGGAATCAGTGGGACTGGCTCAGGTCAGTGCAGGCAGGCTTCAGGGCTGTTGTACATAGGGTCGCTATGAGTCGCATGTAACAACAACTTCATCATGTTCCTTACTTATGAAGTGGAAATAGCAATCAAATGTCCCCACATCATAGGGTTGTTGGAAGGAGAAAATGTCATGCACACAGCCTGTGTTCCATTGAACTTTGTTAGTATTGTTATACCAAGGTTATATTGGGGGTGGGGGTGTTGGTTTGGTTGTATAGGGAGGTTTTTATTGAGATTTTATTGAAAGTTTATAGAGAACTTGGATTTCCATTCATTCATTGTTGCACATTTTCCTCCCTGCCCACCCCTCCCCCCGGTTTGGTTTTTTTGTTGTTGGGGGTTTTTTTAAGTACAGTTGAGTCTAACTGACTCATAGCTAACTGACCCTCCAGTGGGTTTTCAGAGGCCGTAAATCACACATGTTGTGAATTCCATCCGCATGCTTTTGGGTTGGCAGAGCAATTCCTTACCACTGAGCCACCAAAGCTCCCTGATATTGCTGTTGGGTGCCATCAAGGCAGCTCCAGCTCCTGGTGACCCTGTGTGGAGAAAGAACTGTCCTTTAGGGCTTCCTAGCTGTAATCCGGATGAGAGCAGATCACCAGGCTTTTCTGCCTTGAAGCTCCTGGCTGAATTGGACCATTGCACCACCCAGGCTCCTCGTGTCAATTATCGCATGAGGAACCAGCAGTTCTATTCGTGCTCCATGAGTGGCAGCTTTTATTTTGTTGTGTTCTTTCTTCCTTTATTTAAAAAAAAATTGTGATTTTTAACAAAAGTTTATGGAAAAGTTGGATTTTCATTCATTCATTTAAAAGAAAATATATGTTCATTCATTGTTGCATCATTTCTTCCCTCCTCACCCCTCCCCTAGTATACATCTCTTATTCTGGACTGTTGTCATTCAAATAATGCCTAATCGTCGTGGCGGGTTTTACAAGCATGCACCTGGAGGCAGTAATGTGCAGTAAAGAGGCCCCCATTCCTCTGCCCACACACCAGAGGGGCTCAGCCTTGTCGGGGTCAGTATGAAGGCTTGATTTAAAGAAATCATCTAGAAAGTCAGTTTGTGGTCTGTGTTGAGCCGTGGGGCCATGAGGAGAGGAAAACGGTGTCCATTTTCGGGAAGTTTACATTTGCCTTTTCTATTTCATTTCCTGAAGCAGCTTGAAAGAGCAGGTGGTAAATTTAAAGAGATGCATGTGCAGGCCACCTCCAGTGAGGTGAGGCGGCCACAAAGTTTCCCCGTCTCTGTGTCGTCAGACGTGCCTGCCCCGTGGTGGCTCCGAGTTTCCCTGTCTCTCTGTCATCAGACGTGCCCTCTCCATGGCAGCACTGACTTTCCCAGTCTATGTGTCATCCATCAGACGTGCCCGCTCTATGGTGGCACCGAGTTTCCCTGTCTCTCTGTCATCAGACGTGCCCTCTCCATGGCGGCACTGACTTTCCCAGTCTCTGTGTCATCCATCAGACGTGCCCGCCCCGTGGTGGCACCGAGTTTCCCAGTCTCTGTGTCATCAGATGTGCCCTCTCCATGGCGGCACTGACTTTCCCAGTCTCTGTGTCATCAGACGTGCCCGCCCCATGGTGGCACCGAGTTTCCCCGTCTCTCTGTCATCAGACATGCCCGCCCCGTGGTGGCACTGAGTTTCCCAGTCTCTCTGTCATCAGACATGCCCGCTCCATGGTGGCACTGACTTTCCCAGTCTCTGTGTCATCAGACGTGCCCGCCCCATGGTGGCACCGAGTTTCCCAGTCTCTGTGTCATCAGACGTACCCGCCCCGTGGTGGCACCGAGTTTCCCAGTCTCTGTGTCATCAGCCGTGCCCTCTCCATGGTGGCACCGAGTTTCCCCGTCTCTCTGTCATCAGCCGTGCCCTCTCCATGGCGGCACTGACTTTCCCAGTCTCTGTGTCATCAGACGTGCCCCCCCCATGGTGGCACCGAGTTTCCCAGTCTCTGTGTCATCAGACGTACCCGCCCCGTGGTGGCACTGAGTTTCCCAGTCTCTCTGTCATCAGACGTGCCTGCTCCATGACGGCACCAACTCATCTCTCCCTCTCTCCCCACAGATGAGCACCATGCCTGGACTGCCCACACGGCCCTGCTTCTACGACATCGACCTAGACACGGAGACAGAGCAAGTGCAGGGCCTGTTCTGAGTGACCACACTCCAGAGGACCTGGGTCAGGTGCGCCATTCTCCTGTTTTCCTTTCCTTGCTTAAGTTCAAATCCTGTTTTCCTCCATTTGTGACAAAAGTAACCTGATTCTTCTCAGAGCAGTCCAGGACTTGGACGTGCTCTTGGGGGTGGCCACAGGATGGGTGGTCAGTACTGACCCCGCGTGGCCTCTGGGAAAGTCGGACTATGTCGTCCCTGAGTCTCCATTCTGTCCTTTGTAAGCTCATGGTTCTTTATATGGAATTAAAGCCTGTTCCTGCTGTGACCTCTGGGAGCTCTGATGGCCTAGTGACAAGAAGCTGCTCTGCTACCCAAAGGCACATAGTTCAAATCCACAGGTTGCTCCATGGAAGAAGGATGGGCAGTCTCCTCCTATGTGATTAACTGCCTCTGAAAACTTGCTGGAGTGTCAGCTGTGGGTCGGTTCCGACTCGATGGTACACCACCGCCACCACAACTTGCTGTGACCTAGAGGCCCCTGGTGCAGTGAGAATCAGGTGATGAGTACGTACTTCCATGGTCACTGTGGAGACAGGTGTTACACACTCAGGTCATGGCCCAGCGAGGGGAACAGCCATCTGACTGGGATCCAGGGGAAGATTGAGGCTCCGGGAGCCTCAAAGGTCTCCCTGTTCCTGAGGGCGGCCTTGGCCTGCAGTGGCCTCAGGGGCCCCAGTGAAGACCATTGGCTTTACCTGCCCTCCCCCCAGATACTGCAGACCTGTACTAACTTCCCATTGTGAAGGGAAGTGAGCCTCCCAGCACGTCCCTCCCCCCACCCCGGAACGCCCATCTGAGCATGTGACTCTCAGAGCTGCTCCTGAACCCCCACTGCCCCTGAGCTGTGGGGCCAAGCCAGGCATGCAGGAGACCCCCTCACCTGTTTCCGTACCAGTCAGTGCGGGATGGGGTTGGCTGGTTGGTAGGGACGTGGCCGGCTTCCGATGAGAGAGATAAGGAGCCACTTGTGTGAAATTCCATTCATTCAAGACATGGGTCACTTGGCTTTGGGTAGGGAAGTTGGTGATGGGGTTTGTATGTGCTGCTTACTGAGAGGCGGGAGCAGTGTTACATTTTCACACAACCACATCTTATTTGTCTCTCACATGGAAAACTAGAGAATGAAGTGAGGGAGTTTCACGTGATAAAGCCCATGAGCTTTGATCACACTGTTGTCCTGGTCGCTTGTGTGTGTACATGTCTTGGGCTCCCCATGAGGCCTCGGGAGACCAGCAGTCAGACCTCCGGGACAGAAAGCTGGCCCCAACAGCTCTCCCTCCTGGGTTCAAAACCCAGTTTACAACATTTGTGTCATTTGACAGTTTTCTCCAAAACAGGTTTTGTAGTTCTCTTCTCTCTCTTGAATAGTATTTTTCCAGACCTTTGGCCAATTTTTATTACCGCACCACATCATTCATATAAACCCAATTATACCATTAGTATTGCTGTTAAGACTCAGATAATGCCAAACAATGCACCCTTGCCTTCACTAATGCATACATTTGAATCCTGTATTACTAGATGTCCTTGCACTGAAAATATTCCTCCGGATTTTAGTTACAGCTGTGAGCAGAGGGCCAGGAAGTGGGCAGGGCTGTGAACCTCCTGTGCACCAAGGTATTGTGCTCAGCACCTGTGTGGTGGGCCATCCTTGGGGGCAAGTGTTTTCCCATAAGGCCATGTGAATGGTAAGAAGTTAGGTCCTAGGAAGTTGTTGAATTGTAGATATTCTGCTGTGCATACTTTTTTTTAATTAGTTTTAATGAAAGTTTACAGAGACTTAGGGTTTCCAGTCATTCATTGTTGCAGTTTTCTCCCTGCCCAACCCCTCCCCCCCAATTCACTTTTCTCCTTGATGAATAAAAGAAAAACTCTTTCATTGTTATGCAGTTCCTCCCCACAAGTGCACTGAACTATGCAGCCTTCTTTCAGGATTCCTGTCATGACAGTGCCCAATCATATATCCCTTTTAAACAAGTCTCTCCCTCATCTGTCTCAATGCAGTATACATCATTCTTCCCCTTCTTTTCTGTCTTCCCTCAACCACAATGTCAGTCCTGTTTTACAGTAGTGTCCCTATGCAATATTTGTCTTTTTGTGACTGAGATATTTCACTCAGCATACAGCCCCCTAGGGTCATCCACTTTGCATAATATATCATGAGTTCCTTATTTTTCAGTGCTGCATAGTATTCCATTGTGTGAATATACCAGAGCTTCTCTACCTATTCGTTTGTTGATGGGCACTTGGGTTGTTTCCAGCTCTTAGCTATTGTGAACAAAACCGCAATAAACATGGGTGTGTATATATCTGCTTGGGTGGCAGTTATGGTTTCTTTAGGGTAAATTCCCAGTAGTGGAATTGCTGGGTCAAATGGTATTTCTATTTACAACCTCTGGAGAAAGCACTGTACAGCCTTCCATAGTGGCTGCACCATTTTACACTCCCACCAACAATGATTAAGGGTTCCAGTTTCTCCACAACCTCATCAGCATTTGTTTGCTGTACATATTTTTAACCACAAAAATTGAATTTTTTAAAGAAGATTCATCCCCTGTGATATGTGGCTGAAGAGGGCTGCCTTGTTTCTCTTGCACCTGCCCCTTCACTGCTGAGCCCTGATTTTCTTCTATAGCTGCGAACACTGTGGCTCAGACCAGGTGACCTAGGTGGGGCACAGTTACCCCCACTGACCCCTCTAAAAAGGATCACCATAGAAGATGCTGAACAGAGTAGGGGGAATGTGGACCAGAATCAAAAACATTGTAAAAGGAACAGCATGGGGTTGGCTAGCTCTGATCTCTCCTAAATCCACCAAGGGGAACTGTCCCCATAAATAACATCCACAGTTCAAAACTGATTCCTGTAAGGTTAGACACGGTCTCCCACACTCCTACGCCTTCTAACTTCTCCTAATTCCAACACAGATCTTACTGCTTCACTGGGTCTGTAATCCATTGCAATAGCTCACAGACCACATAGACCCACATTCCTAACTAGAGTGTTTATTAGGGAAGTTAATTTGGAAGCAGGAGTGGCATCTACTTCCTAAACAACATTCCTCTTGAAACTCTATGAACGTGGATAATTGTCAATAGTTGCAGTGGGGCTTCAGACCTTTTATTTCATAGGGTCACTATGAGTCGTGCTCGACTCGATGGCAATCAACAGCACAACAACAACCAGATATAATTTCTCAGTTACGATAGCATCTAAAGTGTGTTGACAGGTCCTTGGCTTTAGGCCAGTGTTACAAAGCTCTCTTAGTTTTGCCTATTATCTCCCCACCAAGTTCTCCAGCAAGCTCTGACAGAAGCCCCCCAGTTCTGGTTCCAAAGGGTAGCAATCCCAGGCCAGCTCTGTCTCCTGTCTGGTCTCTGCTGTTCTCCTGTAGGTCTGGCTAGTGCAAGAATCTCTGGCTCCGAAGGGCACTTACTGCATTCTCTGTTTCCTCTTGGCTGGTAGTGAGATTCTCACTTTCTGCTATTGAGTCCACTCAGTTTAATAGTGAGACTAGCCAGTCCCCTTGTGGATAGGATAACACATCCTATTTAAAAGGGCTATATGATTGGGTATTATTGTCATGACAGGAGTCCAGATTGAAGGCTGTACAGTGGAGTGAACTTGGGGAGGGATTGCTTAACAATGAAAGAGTTTTTCTTTTACTTTTCAAGGCGAAGAGTGATTTGGGAGGAAGGGGGTGGGCAGGGAGAAAAGTGCAACAATGAATGACTGGAAACCTTAAGTCTCTGTAAACTTTCATTAAAATTAATTTTAAAAAAAAAAGAAAAGCCATTTTGAAACCTTAGACACCACACACACAAAAACACTCTGCAGGTCTAACACGGACGGTAAAACCCCTAAGATTAAGGCCCTGAGTCACCCTTTTCCAGCCTGGAGAAGCGCTAACCCTCATGACTCAGCCAGCTTGCAGCCAAATGATAAACAGTTCTGTAAAAAGGGAGCTCTGGTGGCCTAGTGGGTAAAGAGTTGTACTGCCAACCCAAAGGAACACAGTTCAAATCTACCAGCTTCTCTGCAGGAAAAAAGATGGGCAGCCTCCTCCCACGCAGTGTGTAAGTTTTGACAACCCACTGGAGGGTCAGCTATGAGTCCGTTTCAACCCGCCAGCACACAACAACAACAACATAAGGTGATCAGTAACAGCAGGGAAGTATAAACTCTTTACAGTCAACTCTAGAAGATCAGAGGGCAGCCTTTGCCCAGGCCTAGAGCTCAGAAGGCAGGGAGCTAGAATAGAAAGATTTCATGGGCATGAGAATCACAGGGAAGAATGTCGTTACAATGTGGATATTTTAGTCCACGTCATAAAACAAGATGTATGAATGATTGAGTGGGAATCCAATTCAGTCTGTAAACTTTCACTCAAATAAAATCAAATAAATACCGAACTTTCTGGCTCAGAGAGGTGCCAGGCTTGCTCAAGCTCTGTACTTAACAAGTGAAAAACCCAGCAGCGTTCAGCGTAGACTGCAGAAATCTCCACCCCACCCCATCTTTTATGCCCAAAGATGCCTTCCAGTATCAGTCACAGGGGTAAATGCACGTTGACCCACTCTGAAAACTGATAGATGCTCTTTGTTCACACTGGTTGGAAGAGTGATTTAATAATAATAACAACAAGGAGGAGGGGGAGGGAGAGGAGGAGAAGGAGGAAAAAAAGGAGGGACAATCTCCTCCTGTAGTAGTCAGATCCAATTTGACGGTGTACACGTACGTACGTACACACACACACACATAATAATCAAAGATACTTGTTTGTATGACTTTGTCAGAATCCTTTTTAGGCAAAGTATAATAACTCTGATTGCATGGCTTTTTCCCCACTCCTGTGTCCCAGGCCTCTGTAAAATGCCCTCCCGGGCTTGGCGGGCAGTGATTCATGGTCCACCATTCCCCCATGCTTGAACAAAAGCAAACAGATTGGATGTCCGAAGATAAAGCCACACACAAAGCGAA